GCACATCGACTGCAATAGGACAAAAGGTCTTTGCCTGGGAATTTCAACCCGCATTGTATCGACATGAAGCCAATCTCCCCAGTCCTTGAAATGGTAACTTGACCACGATGGCACCAAATTCAAGAAGCTTATTTGGCTCAATCAACTGAATGTTGCCAAGCAACAAGAAAGAGATGATCGTCGTCAAGCTTTACCAATACACAACTACTTCATGCTGTGCATATCCGTGATCATCGCAGACTCGCACTTGCACCAGTGAATCGCCGTAGTGGAGCTGGGGACCTTTTTGGAGTTCCCAATCCGGCGAGGTCTCGGCGATCTAACGCGATTCGAGCACAGGTCTATCAATCTCTCGCACGCTAAGCAAAAGTTTGTGTTTTCGGTAGCCAGAAACAGAAAGTCGTGTCTTCTATGCTCTACCAAGGTCGATGATAATCAAATTATCACGCTACTTTGATACGTCCTTCTTTCAGAACTATTTGGATACGTCATTGCTCCCTATTCTCCATCAACATGCATAGTGCTTGTTCTTCTCTTGAACGTCCAGGTGGGCCGCTCAACGCAGGCCATCAGTGATTACTGAAGTCTGATCAGTGAGGGTAACGACCAGTACCAATTACAGCCAAAGCTGCTGACGATCAACCACACTTTCGAAGATCTGGGTTTCTTGATCATCACCGCTTTCATTTTGCTGATATGAGAGGAATACTCCCAAAGGCTCTCAACATGTGCTTCCTGCTTATCATCTACTTAATGTGTACCTTTTCACGACAGAACCAGCTACGTTGACATAGGTGGATACCTTGTGTTCTAGACCAATATAGGCAGGTGATAACGGAAATCTACTCGACGTCCTCGACGGCCAGCATCAAAGATAGTTCATATCTCTGGTACTCCGCACAGCATTCGCGTGGGTCGCGGGTCATACCAGACCCGCGAGTCCCGGTCGGGGTGACTTTCCGATTCCGCGAAAATTTTCCTCGCTATCAAACTCTATTACGGCATCGCTCATCACTATCAAAGAAAGTGTTCAGGCCTGAAGAATGAACGAAGAAAAAAAGAACCAATTACTGGTGATAGTGATTCAGCGAGACTTTCTGCTAGATGCGCCGACCCACCAATCTTGTGAACCGCGAAGACAAACTAGGTATGCAGTACGGTAGCTCCCAAGACTTTCAAGCAAATTTGCAGTCGGGCCTCGGCTTGGGTCGGTACTGGTGAGACCTGATGTTAGATAACCGACAACTCGTGCATGGTTCCATGAACGTGCTTCATTGGTCTGTGGGATTCACTACCCGAAAGCTTGAGCCTTTCCATCAACAATCATGTTGATACGTCAAATTCTGGACCGTTGAGCTTCGGAATTCTGCACCTATTTCCTGCAATTTCCCTTTTCCGAGGGAAGTCTCCTCCTGTACACCAGAGTCCGGAGTACCCCTGCCGATCGAAAGGGGGATTTCCTTGGGACATGCTTCTAGACGCGGCAAATCCCTGCTCGCAGTAGCCCGTGCGCAGTGATCACTAATCCCGTTGGTGAATTGACAGTGATTATTATTATTATACTCTCTCTTTCCTGTGTACCTGCGCATGATAGGCTGAAGCTGATATATTTACACTTGTGAGGTGGACTTGCACTGTCACAACATGACCCCAATAGTCTGGTCCATTGTGAATTTGTGATATTGTCTCGTCCAATTGCGTGATTGGAGGCACCTTGGACTGAAGCTTATTCGTAATACCCCAGACTCGGGCCCTTCGCAGGTCAGCACACGAAGATTTAGCCAAGAGATGGGCCTTTCGAGGATAACGAAGAGCAACTATGCAATGTACTCGTTCACAGACTGTGCTCCTTTTTCATCACACCGTCGAATGTGTGGACATTAACCATCATTAGCAAAGGACCGGCCAATTTCAGCAGCCAGGCCCGTCATTTATTTGACACAGGGGCGACTCGTTAAAAATAGGCCTTTTCTATAGAGTACGAAAAGCTCGATACTGAATGGTTGCAGTCGTCGTAATGAGTCTACAAGGCCATGGACCCCTCTACTGTACAGTTGCTGTCGAAATCGGCCGTCGTCGTTGGATCCTCTACAGACTACGATGGGCACGCTCGCCTTTATGCCTCCTGGACAATTGAGTTATGTCTCTTTTTTTTTTCATTATGCTCAGCTTTGCTTGAGAGCTAGTCTAATCGTGGTCTTATCAGACTTGAGATGAGGCCGAAGCCCTCAAATAATTGACAATTGGTTGACTTAAACTTGAAGGATCATTTGCCTTCCACTAGTCCATCAATGGCAACTGTGGATATCTGCCCGCCAAGTACGACCCTGCATTCCCAGCAGTGGCGTGCTCAGGATTATGGAAACTCCCCTCCCTTGTCTCTGTTAGACTGTTGGGACTGCGTGGAAGTATGTCTGGTCATTTGACACGTCCGCGGCACCAAGTCTGTCAGTGGGCGCGGTGTAAGGATCTATAAGCTTTGCCTGGCCAAGCTTGTGAAGCATAAGGGCTCTTCCTTCTAGCTTCATCAGTCGCTGCCGTTGGTCGAGGCCAGGGCGACCATGTACTTGTTGACAGCCAAGGGCAGTTGCTTTCGTCGATCAGCAACAATGTCCAGACTCGTGCAACCTTAGCAGAAGATGGTTGCTGTATCGTATGCATCGAAGCACCTAGGGCTAAACAATTGATGGACGTGATCAGAAATAGGTGAGAGATGTTGCGCCGCGTTCTAATATCCAACGAAGGATGCATCTGATAACCTAGTATGAGGTTATTCGAGGACCAACTGAGGATTATGATACTGTACAAAGGACTAAGAGAATGACTACTCTGTATACATGTAGGCCTGATCCGGAGTAGTATCCCACCAGTCTGGATCAATGATCTGCAAGCCTATGGAGGTCTCTCGATCCTTTGATCGGATCTCCCAATCCAAGGCACTGGATATTGGAACAAATAGAGTGTCAACTTTGTTGCTCCTTGTGTATTCTTTCTATTCCCCTCTGTTTTCACGCTATCGATTCTTCGTATTACACCCTCAACCCTGTTCAAATTCAACGGCGATGTGGCGCCTATTTGCATTCTTCGTCTATGACCGCGATCTTTCACTGGTGCCAGATCTACTAAATCCCAATCTTCAAAGGTTTAAGCATTTGATGACTCGAAAATTCCAGACTCGGCCGGCTCATCCCCTCATTGCTGCCATCATTATTGCCCAAGCAAGGCCTGACTGTCTGACTAGGTAAGAAAACCAATAAATGGGATCCTTGACGGGTGCGCCTTAGAAGCTATTGAGAAGAATCCGCCAACACGAGCCTTAACCGGGCCGGTCACTGTCACATTCACATTCACATTCACATTTTAAAGTTCACTGCGCCCTGTGCAGACTGCAGACCCTGACCCTGACTCAGGTCCGGAGTCAGGAGGCCGCAGCACTGGAGGATCAGCGCCAGGATCATTCTGGTGGCTGACGCCCCAATGTCTACGGAGTATTATTTTTCAATTATCAAATCCTTCGAATCGGAGGACTCCGTATCGTATCTATCTAGATCGTATCACATGGCCCATGTGACATGGGCCACGTCGACCCCAGATTTCTACGCCGCTTCTGGAATCGAAGATCGTTCGGCGTGTTTCTCGCTCTCAGACCGAATGTGCCGTTTCTAAAGAGAATCATGAGCACACAAAAACAGAACAGAGCAGAAAAATTTTCTTTTGTTTCTACTGTATGTATCTTGTCTAGATACAAGTCCTCACGGTGTATACCGGACTCCTTTAAAGGTTAGACTCGACAGAACCGGAACCAGAACCACATGCAAGGGGCCCATGGGATTGTGCGTCCCCGATCCATGGAAGGCAGCTCGTGGTCGGCGTCGTTTGGTTCCAAACTCAAACTCTGGGTTGAGATTCGACTCGGATGAACTGAACCATAACCAAGGAAGTATGGCATCAACCAAGATCAATTGAATCGAATCTCAGCTCTGATCAGCATCTTGGATTCTGATCAATTCCCTGCTCGTTTGTCTACGGGATCATCAGAGCATATACCCGATTGAGAATCTATCTAGATTCTATCTACTCTACTCCGTAGATACCCCAGCTGAACTTTATCCCCAGTCACCGCCATCGATCTATTGAATACTATTGCGAACCCCTCAACAGGCCGGGAACGAATCAGCTCCATTCGTCAGTCAGGGGTGGATGAACCATGGTACCGTATCCCGTAGTCTGCACGTCATTATTATTGTTGCTGTAATTCCTAAAGTTAAGACCTGGCTTAACTGTCTTGGGTTCTTTGTCCGAAGCTTCGGGGTGTCAAGGTTTGGGGGACTGAGTTTATTGTTTGTTGTACATGAGGAGCTATTGCGTTGATTGGATCGAGGTTTTGATGTTATTGATTTGGTAGACTGGATAGTGTAGGATAGTCCTGGGAGGTATATTTTCATGTGACTGCGATGTGCTACCTGTAGACCCTATCTAGGAGTGAAAAAGGGGTCTCTGGATGATGAGAATCACATGCGGAAGGCGCAGTCTGACGAGAAGATGGCTCGGATAGAGTCCGTGTTTCGTGCTGGATGCTGTCCATTCTACGGAACAGATGGAGAAGATGGCTCGGATAGAGTCCGTGTCCCATGCTGGATGCTGATCATTTACAGAACGGATGGATTCATTGATCTTCATGATTCAGTAACTGAGAGTACTATTCAGAACAACAGCCGAGTAACATCCTCAGTCAACCTCCGAGTAAAGTACAACAGAAGCAGGAAATACCAATCTGCCGGAAGTACATGTACAATCCATATTCTCGTCGTCCGGTCCCATGTCCTCATTTCATATCTTACGCTTCGTTGCGATCGTAACTACATCGTTTCTCGTCGTCGTTGGGTCTTCCCGTCGACTTCCGTAAAAGAATGATCAACCTGATTCGGGTAGAGTCGTAAAAATCTTCATCATCTCTTCGGTAGAGTAGATTCGAAATCTTGTCAAAGTTCAGTCAAAGTTCAACTCCTTCGCGACCCTCGATCGCGATCGCGGCGGCTGGGATGTGACTCTTCCGCTTCCTCGTCTTCCTCCTCGACAGGCGCAGGTGTGCGTCGTTCGGTGCGTCGCTTGGGCCGTCGTCGACGATTGGAACTGATGTTGCTGGCCGAGTCATCAGGCGCCAGTGATCGGTCATCGTCAATTCCATCGTCTTCCGTTCCGCTTTCCCAGGTCCCCAAGGCGGACGATGGAGTGCCAAGTCGCGCCTCGACGTACGATCCGCGGCGGTTTTGATTAGCGATGGACAGGCCTGCTCCGCGTTCACGCAGCGCGCGACGGACGACCTCAGCCTTGCAGTGAAGAGCTTCAAAGGCATCCTCGAGCGCTTCCATTCCGAGGAAAATCTCGCGCTCGATCTCAGCGAGGGCCGCGATCTCCGTCTCCTCGTCCAGCGCAATGGGTCCACCGAAGGATGCAGGTGACGATGGATTAACGCCGTAGGGCTGACTAGCTGGTCGGACGCCACCATCCATATGACTCGGTGTCGGACCGCGGGACATTCCTCCTGTAGTGAAGGGCGTATTCGATCGGCTGCTATTCCAGCGTGATGGGGTCGCGCCTGGGACGCCGGGGATCGGATCCTCTGCGCCACTGCGCAAGAATCCATCAAACCGGCCTGAGATGAGGATATCCCATTCATCATCGCTGATCGCAGCAAGGGTTGCGAGCACATGGTGAATGCCCGGGTTGTTCAACATATAAATTGCGGTTTCTGGGTCACGCGGCAGAGAGGATAGCCGGTAGAGTCGTTGAATGGCGATCGACGATGACACAAGCGCCTGCGGTCTAGCTCGAGGCTGCTGGTCGTCCGTCCGTGGGGTGGGTGTCGACGTGGACGTGATGCCTAGAAGCGAACAGAACAACGGACGCAGCTCTGGGCCGAGATGTGTCAGCATTGCAAAGGTCAACGTCTCGTCATCCACCTCCTCCGGAGCACTGGTAGGCTGCGCGACTTGTTCATTCAACCAGTTATCCACTGCAGCCTTGGTCTTGCGCGACTGCCGGAGATAATGCCCACGGTACTCTTCCGGTACGTCAATGTCCATCTTCTGCATGGGAATGTGCTCGTCGCCGGACAAGTCGGCTTGGACTGACGGAGCCATCATGAACGGTGGCCAGCTAGGCAGTTCCCTGCGACCAGATACCAGCTCGAGTACCTCGCCCCAGGTCACTCCTGATGGACGCTCTTCCATCTCATCGTGATCACACATCAGGCAGTGACACGATTCAGACGAGATGTCACGCGCAAACACTGCTTCCAGCCGGTCGAGAAGCCGCCGAGCGACAGACCGGTACCCCGTCGCCACAGCCAGCGACCCGTTCTTGGTCATGACATGTTGATAGTCCTCGAGAAGACGATTGAATGGATCAAAGACTCTGGCAGCCGCAACAGCAGGCTGCAACTGCTGCTGAGGTGGAAGATCTGGGTGCTCCGGGCCCAGCAGTAGTGTCTTCGGTACTCGGTAGTCCAGACCGCCATTCTGTAACAGATAGTCGACTCTAGGGATAGAAACGGGCACCTCCGGCGGCGGAGGAGGGGGAGGAGGAGCGCCGAATGTGGAATTAGCGGTTGGGGGTCGACCGTAATCAAATGCGATATCGACCGGCGATCCGCTCCCTGGTCTAAACGAGTGTGACATAGACGAACGCGTTTGGTTTCGTGAAGGCGGTTTGGCAGGAGGCGTTTGTGGTTTCCGGAAAGTCATCGATGGCTGATGCGGTGCAATAGTGGCGTCAGACCCGTTTGCCGACCCTGACCCAACTTCACGCACAGTCGCGGGGGATCGAGGCGGGGACAGAGTACCCCGGCTTGATGAGCGCTTGGGCAGCTTGACTTCATCAGCGATCTTCACTTTGGAAGACTTTTTGCTTGCAACCCGAGCCGGTGTATCCTTCTCTTTGTTGGATTTCGGGGTCTCTGGCCTCGCCGTTTTGCTTGCCTTGGATGCTTCATCTCTTTTCGAGCGCAAACTCGAAGACGACCTTGTAGACTCGGCTCGAATTCGAATCTTCGTCTTCAGGTCCTTTGGTTTCGCTTTCTTCTCCTCTGCCGCCTTCTCTTCCTTGTCGCCGACCGTGCTTCCCTTGCGGGAAGAGCCCTGATCCAGACTCGTCAAGGGCGGGCTGGGAGGCGCATGTCGACTATCCGTACGATGATTGTTGCCTGCATCCCCAGCCTCTTTATTCTCCTCTGTCAAGTCGGTCGGATCCGGCGTGGGAATACCCGGTTTGCTGACAGCCTCTCTGCTATGGGCTTTCGAGAACGTAGGGTAGGGCAGACTGGTTCTCGACTCGAGGAAAGAGGCCGTAGCGGAACGGCCGGCGGCGTCGACGCCCGGCATGGAGGACCGACGCTGCTGGTGCGAGGTGGAGATGGGAGTAGATAACGATGTGGTGGAGGAGTGACCCGTGGGGATGTCACGGTCTCGATCCTTGGTTGAAGGGCGGGAGGGCCGTCCCTGGGACGAGCGGTGATGACGTTGTTTGGGCTTTGACGATGTAGACGATGAGGAGGATGGCTTTCTGTCGCGATCTCTGTCATTTAGTCTCAAGGGAAATAGCATGACAGGATGAGAGAGGTCCGACATGGGTAGGACTGGGCTGGGATGAATGGACGGAGAGATGGAAGACGACAGGGCGAGCGATCCCGTCGGTTCTTCGGTGTCTCTTTTCGACCGGAGTTGTATGTTACCTCGTCAAAAATAGTAGTCAAGTCAAGACGATCGCTACCTCGTGAAGGTCGAGTTGCTGTGCCACAGTTGGAGTGGGATCGTCTGTCTGTTGGCAGTATGTCGTCTGGCGCTTAATTTGAGAGAAAGGCCGCACTGCTCACTGGTCGGATACCGGGCAGGGCGCTTGTGTCACTCATGCCGTCGCATGCGAGAGAGAATGTGATAAAAAAAGAAAGTTTGACAGTCCGAGTAAACGAGACGATCAAAATGGTGTTGCACGAGAAGATCGAGCAAAGAATTAGTGCATCAGACGGAGAGAAGGAAAGATCTGATGGGGAAGAATTATGCGGTGAGAGTGGAATCATCGTCTCTTCCCCGCGCAGTTTTGGCCAGTTCGTGGTCCTAGTTGGGTTGGAGACTAACTTTGGGGGTGACAGAGTGACGTGGTGCTGCATGGAAACCCGACGGACAGGATAGTAAGGCTACATGGGCAGATTTAATTCCAGACAATTATTGCGAAGAGGAAAGTAAACGTTTTCGGTCTGACAAGAATCTACAATGCTGTTCCAACATCACTTCGGGTATCGTCATTCACACCTCAGGCAACGAACTGATTGATGCCTCGCGATGTGTTTGAATGTCATCATCATTGTAACAAAACAAAAGCTCCTGGATATGGATTTTTCCTGGATTTTTCCCTATGAACGATCTCTTAACAGGGTACCTTTTGATTGGAAGTCAAGACCTCAACTCCTATTCCATGCAACCCAACTCCGTCTTCCATAATCAACCAGGATCAAATCCCAGATGTATTCAACTCCCGGCTGTCAGACCATTCGCGACCTTCTTCACTGGCGATGTCTCCAACACAAAATTGCCGTCCTGTTCCTGAGCCACACCTCCACGGCGTGCAGCTCGCATCATCTTCTCGCTGGCTCGTTTGCGCTCGCCTGTGTGCCGATCCCAAATCCAGCCTTCCTTGAGCCACATCCACGTCAAATATGCCCGTAGCTCCTTGTCCTGCGGTAAGACTGATTTCCATTCCGGGACAAAATCTGCTGATGCCGCCCCATTGCCTTTCCAGTCCTTCGCTAGTCCCCGCAGCTCATCTCGGCAGAAGATGCGCCAGCTATCCAACGAGTACGGGCCCACACCAGGCAGATGTGCAATCTCCCATGCTACACGTGTGTCGTCGTCCCCGATGCATTCTTCGCGGCCGACGTCTTTCCCATCCATCTTGCATGGGTAATGCAGTCTGCGGTATCGACTGCCCTTCGTCGGTGGACGAGCCAGCCATGTCTTAACAAGATCGATGCATTTTTTCGCTCGCTCGTTCTGAAATCCCAAAGAATGGATCATAGAGACCAACTTCGAGAAACCGGCCGTACTCATGTCTTGGATTGTCGGGAATTGGTCAATTACTCGGATTACCATCTCTGTTCCACGACGGATGGGTTTGAACAAGTTCTGTGAACTGTCGCTGTCCTTTTTTAAGGGCATTTAGCTCTCCTCTTGCACGCCCAAGTTCCAGTTTCAGTTGAGTAACTTCCAGTTTAATGGCGTTCAGACTTTTAGTTGTCTTTATCGCCCAGTATATCGTGACTAGTATACCAACGGCAGATATCCACGTGCCAATGCAGGCTGCAATTGAGACAAAGTCAGTATGTTCAGATACTCCCATAATGACTTTGGTAGATGAAAAGTTGTGAGAAAAGACAGCATAACTAGTAGATAACATAGAGGCTTCAGGCAAAAACAGAAGGAAGGTGCTGAGCAGATGGGCAGGAAGGAGCTTACTCAGGTCCGGGTCAGAGTCAGAGTCCAGAAAGTCAGATGGTAGACCAAATTCGCTCAAAATCTCCCGAGTTTCTTCAGGAATAGGCTTGTAATCTCGAACATAAATAGCAGAATATGTAGTGGGTATCTGGCTGAGAACACTCGATGCCACACCTTCCACTTGCTGAGGGCTCATAAAATATTTTGACTTCACCTCATCGCTGGCAGTCACACCTTGCGAATCGTCGGTTTTTAAAAATCCAGAGTCCAAAAAGGGTCATCAAGGATGGTAACGTCCTTGTCAACTTTGATATCACCACTGTTCTTCCGGTTGAAGTTCCTGGTCGTAGTATCCTCTTCAATGTGACGATCATCAGCTGCAAGATCTTCAATCTCCGAGTCCCTCAGGCTCTCCCGATATTTCTCAGCTCTTCTCTTCCGGCGATTCCGGCGCTTTCTACAATTCTTCTCTTTCCTTGGTCTGGCTACGCTCTCCTTGTGTGTTTCTAGCTTATCCGAAGAATGTGCGTCTGGGACAGCCGTGGCCGATTTTTTGGGTCCATCGGAGTCGCTTTCCAGACAAATGGGTTCGTCCCGGGACTTCACAAGTGAGCGTATAGAGTGCTTAGAAGAAGTTAAGGCGCTTGCTCTGTTGTTGCGTCTCTCTGGCGTGACAAAAGAGAAACTGTTCGATCTGTCGTCTTCCGACGAGCGGTCGGACTGCTTGCTGCCGCTTGGGCGTCTGGTCTTGGATAATTCTTCCGCAGGAGATACGCTCGTCAAGACCTCGGGCTCAGCAGCGGCACCAGCGAAGAAATCCTCAAGAGGATACTCGGCCTCCAGATCGATTACCTCACGCTTGGCATCGTTGTGCGAGTCAGCCCTTGAGGCAGTATACTTCTCCTCAGAAGTCTGCGAAGACTGCGATCTGCTCTTCTTGGATTTATCTTTAGCCGTGTCGCCATTCGACCGCTTCCTCTTCCGATCCTTCTTGGAGACCTTCAAGGACCTTCTTCTCTTCCCCGCCACGTCATCAATCTCGTCACCAAATTCTGAGCCTTGGGTGTCGACATAGTCCTTTCCATACAGTTCGAGATATGTCTTCCTCACGTAGTTTGTCAACCTGTCGATCGAGTCCTCGTCCATTCCAGTCGATTTCGCTTGTTCATAGAGTTCGCACACAAAGGTCCGCCTTTTGGACCGCCTCACAGGATATGAACCATCACGCATAAACGGATGCGACGCAATGAAATCCAGCAAGCGAGCGTGCACTTCCGGTTCAACTGAAGCGAAGACAATATCTTCCTCGGCGATGTCATCGTCGACAGCGTTCCCGTTGGCTTTAGCATACGTTTTATTATGGTGCTCGCTCTCGATCGTATTATCGGCCGTCTGGATTTTCACGGATTCGACAGACGTAGCAGGGGTGAAGTCGTCCTCATCCTCGCCTTCGTCCTCGTCATCGTCTTCGCCGTCGACATCAATTCTGGTAATACTTCTCTTCAATCCGAGGCGCCGCTGAGACATCTGGCCCGTCGAGAAGTATGGCGACTTCTTGTGAGTATGTCCAGTTCTCTTGCCGACGGAGGCTCGACCAGTCGCACGCTCACGCTGTGGGGAGTCATTCGCCCCGTCCATGGAGGTACCGCTACTGTATGTGTCGAATGAGGCGTCGAAGCTAGGTTCGTCAGAGAGTATCTCGTCCACAGTGCGAATGTATTCCTCGTCAAAGGGTTCGAAGGAGTCCAAGTCGACGGTGGGAGGGGAGATGACGACGCAGACAGCGTGAGGTGACATTCTGGACGTGGTCACAGACTATCGTAATTATTCCTTGTACTGTAAGTGATATGATGTGCTTGTAGTTGTTGAAGCAGTAGTTGTTAGTGTTGTAGGTGCTGTCAGACATAGTTGGTTCTATCTGGGTGATGCCTTTTCATGGCTAACACAAATGGCGAAAGTGTCAGTGAATAACATTCACACTGAGAATTTCAACTATTCACTCATTGACATGAAATGCATATCTCAGTCATATTGGACTGCCGCACCCTACAATAGTAAGCGAAGCTATAGCTCCCGCATATTGAATGGGCAGCAAGGGCAGTGATGCAGCACCCTTCCAAGTCGGGCTTGACAGGCTTAAAATAGAAATAATGTCCAAGTAATAAAGGCTTTGATTTGAGAGAGCCTTGCTCTCTTTGAAAGTCCCTTATAAGGTGAAATGAGCTGAATTCTGAGGAACACCGCTGGTGGAAATAATTTTGAATGCAACAACAGATGACGCGGAGAAGCAGCGCACAGGCCAATTGGAGATATCCAGGCACATCAACGTGACAGGTCCAGTGCCAAGGTTTACCTATCAATCCACCGTGATGATCTGAATCGAATCATTCATAAGAAAAAGGCTCCTAAATCCAATGACACCTTGGTTCACACCTTAAGCCTAATAATTATGTGGTCGATCTCATTATTGGGAGGAATTTCTGTATTGGCGTATGTAGCTAGACTTCGCCAAACTGCAGGTTGATTGCGAGCAACAATGCGCGTAACCATGAACAGAGTAAGAAGCAGAATTTCTAAAATGACTTCATCAACCCCAAGCTATATGCTCAGGAACATATCCTTAACCTGTCGTGGTATCTACACCCTTTGCGTCCTCGGATAATCACTCTCTCTAACAGATGTGCTCCATTCAGGAGAGCCCATTCAGCGCGAGCAACTCTTCGAATACACGAATGGACGATTTCTGGTCAACGAGAAACATGAAATGTCCAAGCGCTATGCCAAGTTTGATCTTGACGCTCTATGCTCGCTAGTTTCGTCCTTGCCCTCAGTCTCTTCACCTATATCCAATATAGAGAAGATGGAGGGTGGCTTCAACAAAGCTTTGTTGATGACTGCTGAAAATGGGAAAGAAGTCATCGCCAAGATACCACGTCCTGCTGTTGTGCCGTCGAGGTATAGCACTGCGTCTGAAGTTGCTACATTGGAATACGGTAAACTATGTCGGCGTCGTTGTACAACCTCACTACTAATACGGTTGTTTCTTCCAGTGAAGTCTCATACTTCTATTCCGGTGTCCAAAGTCCTTGCCTGGAGCTGTAATGCTCTAAATCCTGTCGGGATCGAATACATTGTAATGGAGAAAGCCAAGGGACGGCAGCTAGTCGAAGTATGGGGCGAGATGGATCAGCCGCAAAAGTTCAAAGTTATCCAAAACCTCGTCCTGCTGGAAAGCCAGCTGGCCTCAGTGAAGTTCCCTGGTTACGGAAACTTGTAACTACGTCATTCGGTTCGACACATAAGTCGAGTGATACCTATAGATGATATCTATTGCATTGGCCCTGTCTATGATGCATCTTGGTTTCCGCAGTTCGACAACAAGAATGACGCCGGTCCATGTCTGTTTTCTACCCTCTGAGTGACTGATCCGATGCTAACATTTACTTCTCAAAGGGGAAAATCTCTGCGATCTTGGACTGGCGTTAGCCAATCGTGGCCTTAGACATGTACAGCATTCGACTCTTGTTCCACGTGGGCCCCATTATGGCGCCAAAGACGAACATATTCAGACCTTAGAAACTGCCTTGAAGATTATACCGATGGTAGCCGGCTATTCTCCACTGCAACGGTTCTCTAACCCAACACTTTGGCACGATGACCTTCACTTGGGCAATATATTTGTTTGTGACAAAGACCCTACGAATATCGTGAGCATAATAGACTGGCAATTTATGTCAATCATGCCCGCATTTATGCAAGTCCAGTGGCCGTCTTTCCTTTGCCCTCCCGACGACTACGAAATCGGGATGGTCAAACCAGAGCTACCGCCCAACTTGGATGAAATGGACTCGGATGAGAAAGCTTTCGCGATAACGAAGAGAGATAAAGCTTTGCTGACAAAATGTTACGAAGCGGCACTCGCCAAAAACCACCTTCAATCGTACTTGGCCTTTACTCGAGTCGATACTGCCATCCGGCATTTGTTTACTTTCTGTGAAACCACATCTAAGAATGGGATCATACCGCTTCGTGATTCTCTGGTGCAGATTTCTAGAAATTGGAGCCAAATGGATCTTCCCCACAACTGTCCTTACCAAGTCTCAAATGACGAATTATTAAAGCACAAGTTTGAGCTTGCTAGGTACAAGGATTGGCACAAACTAAAGTCGTACACTCAAGAGTTGTTGCATTCAGATGATGATGGCTGGGTCCCCCCTCAACTTGACTTTGACAAGGTTAAAGCAAGGCACGCTGAACTCTTCCAACTTTACATGCAGAAAGAAACGGAAGAATTACCGGAAGAGGAGGCAAAGAAACTTTGGTTCTATATCGATAGAGAATAATCACGAGGGCCATGTGGAGCCAGTCGTCGAAACAGGAGCTATGGAAGCTGCTCAGGCGCATATCGACTTGACCGGTGACGAAAGAGAGGAAAGGAACGAAGCTTACTTGAAGCGAACTCGAACTATGGTAAGATATTCTGTGGGCAAGTCAATAGTTTGGTCGCTAGAAGCTCTGATTGCTAATACCTTTTTAGCCTAGATTGTCCTTTGCCTGTTTCTCGATTTCTTTCCAGAATTCGTCGAAGGCCTCTGGGATTTTGTCCTCTGGCTCGTTGACGTTAATGTCCCCAACGGCCAAATTACCATGGCTTGTGTTTTTCTTCGGCCATTTTTGAAGTGCGTCATTGGAAGCCTCCGAGTTGACTTGAAGGTAAATTCTTTTCTTGCCGTCCTTCACCTCTCCAGCGTCGAACGCAGCTGCCATTTCTTGTCCTTTTCACCACTCTTGGAAGGAGCAATGCGTGCTCCGGGTGTATGGGCCTTCCACAACTTGGTCATCTGCCCATCCCGGATCAACAAAGCATATGGTGAGGATCTGGTTGCCCTACCCCGATGCCATTATCATAGAGGGAGAGCGGCTATCGCTGCAAGCCGGTACCAGTTTGATCTACTTTGGTCTAAAGCACCTCCACATCATTGTTTGTTGGGGCGAAGAGCTATTCACCATATAAGACAGTGTGCACGGTCGAAGGATCACCAGTAATAGATTGAATCCCCTCCGGAGATTAGCCTCCAGAGGACGCTGCTCGGTCCTGTGTGAGCGACAAGTTACCTCAAGGTAAGCGAGAGCCTGTCGGATTGGTGACGAGACACGAGACGACTGGTATGTGCATAGCCCAGCAGCTCCATAGCACGGCGCATGCAGATCAGAGATGCTATTGAATTGAATTATCTATGGGGTCAGTTCGGGACAAGTCAAGAATCGTAATTCCATTGCCCGTATATACATGAGTATAAATTGCTGCGAATAAAAGGCTGGAGGATATGCAATATGTATAACCCGCACCAAGAACGCTAATACCGGCCAAACAGTCCTAGAGGTGTCCTGTCACCTGAATTGCATCTATGCTTTCCTGGACGTATGATTCGTAAAAATTGATTCCGCAGCAACACTCAAATCGAGAAGCCGCCCGAATCTAACTGCCTGGGCTCTCCAGCAGCGTCATATGTGCCATTCGGCAGAACCCGGATGGCCTGCGCCGTGCTCTGACCTGGAGCGACCCAGGTCACATTATGACCCCGACACTTCATGAAATCGACTGTTGAATTGTCATAGGTATACTCGAAGCTGACCTGATTTGGTACTAGCTGATCGTGCAAACGGGGTTGAGCCAATGCCTGCGCTGCCGATAGTCCTTGGTCAATAACATGGATTATATTTTGCACAGTGGCCGTTATAATCCGGCTACCACCAGCGGAGCCGGCGAGGAAAAATAACCTTCCATCCGGACGTGTGACTATGGCGGGTGTGATGGAAGACAGTGGACGCTTTTCGGGGCGAATGTAGTTCGCTTTTGAAGGAATATATCCGAATGAATTGGATTTTCCAGGAACGGAGAAATCTGATGAAATGATTGGTTCAGCTGAAAGGGATCAAGCGGTGCAGCACGTACCGTCCATTTCATTGTTCATTATGATTCCGGTTTCAGGGACCATGACTTGGCTGCCAAAGAGGGTATTAATGGTTGTGACAAGGGAGATTGCCAGGCCTGTATGATCTGCCGCTACCACATGCGATGTACCCGAACTGGTATTGTTAGTAAAGGACTTCAAGAAGACGGAGAGCATTCGTACTCATTCAGACTCTCAATTCCTTGCGGATCGTACGCGGACACATTCTGCGTGTGGGCATCGGAGATCTTCCGTCGGATTTCATCAATTGTGGATTGCTTCAACATGTTCTCTTGATACTCATCCAGCCCAGCAACGAAGAGAGGGTCGCCGAGTTTAGTTCTCTTAGTCTCTCGTCAGTAGATTTCTAACGCTGCCTATTGATGAAAGCAATTCGACATACCTCACCATACCCAAAACGCATGGCCTCGTCCAGTCGGTGCGTGCTTAAGTTCACATTACCCGGGGCGAAGAAGTCATCATAAGTACCCAGAATTTTCAGAATACTCATGGCAACAGTACCACTCGACGGAGCTGATGTGCTTGTAATCTGGTACCCCCGATAGTCAATCTGTGACACATTGCGAATGGCGACGGTATAGTTGCGCAAATCCTCCAATGTCATGGCACCATTCGCGGCCTGCAGCGCGTTGATCGTTGTCTCCGCGATCGGTCCCGAGTAAAAGGCATCAGGACCCTTGTTTGCGATGGTCTCAAGCGTATCAGCGTAGCGCCTCCGGGTCATAACGTCGCCGAGTCCAACCCGGGTGCCATTGGGAGCAAAGTCGAGCGCCCATGTCGGGTTCTCGACTAAAAAGTCCTTGCCGTCACCAACAGCCGATTTCATGTACTTCACTAGATCCCGGCCAACGGGGAAGCCCTCCCGAGCTGTCCTGATTGCAGGTTGCACCAGGACCGACCACGGCAATGAACCATACTTTTTGTGAAGATGCTCCAGTCCACGCAGCTCGCCAGGAACGCCACTTGGACGCACATTAGTTCTCTTGCGCAATTCAGCCGGATAGGGTGAATCTCACCTAGCTAAGCCGCCAATTGTAGATGCGTTAGACGAGTTATTGAACATCTCCTCGAATGCGGCAGCCGGAGCTGTCTCACGGAAGTCGATGAACTCGAAGGAACCGTTAGGAGCCCGGACTAGCATGAAGCCACCACCCCCAATCCCACTATGGTACATTCCTGAGAATACAATAAGTCTGTTGATCTGGTCCGGTCTTCAACGGGGCTTACCAATTACTCCAACACAGAGGACTGTCGCAACCAGCTACATCGTAAAGCTTAGTACTACCCAGAAAGACTCGCGATTGGTGCCCTCTGATGGATGGGACAAGGATGAAGCTTGAAAAACTCACAGCATCGGCCGCATTTCCACCCAACTCTAGAATGTCAATTCCATGGCGACTGCAGATAGCACTCTCACTGGCGACTGCCCCGCGCTTTCCATCCTTTACATGATCACTTTGATGATTTCCACCATTGGTATTACGGTGCGTAAGCTCCAGAGGTGAAGTAAGTACATTAGGCACATGTATGACCAACGCCAAGAGTAGCAGTGTGACCAAGAACGTGGCCCTCAGATGTCCGGACATTGTTGCTGCTCGATCCGGTCTGCGCGTCGGCGACTGGGATGCATCGCTCAGTGCGACTGGGGTATTTAAAGTAGGATGCAACAGTGGCTGGGTGCATCATCGTAATTAGACTTTGGCTCAACTGCAACCATAAATGACGCGATATGCAAAGGAATGAGGGGAAGTATGGCTTATCATGGACTACTATACCTGTTTCTCCACATCTTGGATGATCTTAGGTGACTTTGGCCCCTGCATCGGTGCGCTCCGGAGTCCGGAGTTATTTGACTGATAGGACGGAAGTGTACCGAGAGGCTGCAATGGCTGAACACACACTATCGGGATAGTGCAACAATAAGAATATCCCAGATAACATTAAAAAAAAAAAAAAAAAAGGGGAGTGGAAATGAAAATGAAGTGACAAAGGATGATAAAGTCAAGGGGGAGAAAAAGCCGAGTCACATTGGCCATCCCACCGATAAGTGGTCGCGAGGGCCAGGCAATTGATAAGCTTTGGCGTCTCCCTTCCAGTAACTTTCCCCTCGTTCTATCTGCGGTTCGGCCAACGGGAATCGCGACTCAGGCCTCAGGCGCCCGTCCCTCATTCGTCCAAGAACTTGGGCATTATTAATCCCTAAAAGACAGGCAGATAGGCAGAATTCTGTTTCGCCACATACTGCTTTGTGGAAGCTTGCCTTTGTCTTGGCTCGCCGATCCTTTTCTGATGTATTTCGGGAAGCCTCGCGGAAGCCTCGCACGCTGGTGTGCTGTATGCACATTTGATCTTTGGACCTGCGCTTCAAGCCAAGCGGATCTCCAGCCTGCCAGAGAACGTATTCGCTGGGTCTGATAACGGTAACGGTCGCTTTCGACTTGTTATAAGAAACTAGCCATCAAGATCGACTGCCTGTCTTATCCAAGTGATAGTTTCGGTCCAAATTGGAGGAATCTCTTGTAGAGGCTGCAAAACTGCAGCCACCAAGCGGCGCCCCCAATCGCTAACATACCATTTGTCTGACAGGAGATGCATGCCGACTCCATAGTGCAGAAATAATATACAAGCGATCCAGTCTCCCTGCTTCAACAGGGCAATGTAGTCTTCACCAATATGGACGGGCCAGGATATGATGCCTCCACGAGGACCAAACAAGGGCCATAAACTGATGGTATCGTGTAGAAAATCCCAGGTGTCCTGGTAGGCTGCCCGCTGCGGTTCACTGGCATCGTTCATGACGGCCGCTACTTGTCGTAGAGAATCTAGAAGAGCACTGGCACGATGTCAGCTGTTCCATTCAACGATGCAGGCGGAGGGAGATACGTACCTTCGCAGCGGCACAAGCTTCGCATTCCACGTCCTGAGGCCAGAATCAGCTATCATACTAGGCACAAAAGAATGAATGGTAAATCACCCTTGAGATGTGACATTCTCCTCCCGTTTCACATCGTTCGGGAACCGTAGCCACTCTTTCAATTGCCCTGGATTTTGATGCAGATGATGGTAAAGAACAGCACATCCGACCAGGAGACGGCGAGTTTCCAGGACCTGGGCTAGTGGATCAAACGGATGAGTATCCCCGGCGACGCATGGATATGCAGTCGCACATAGGAGGATGAAAACCGCGCAGAGGAAGGCAGGCCCACAATTCTCTGGGGAGATCTCCACGAGAATCCCACTAAAAACCGAGCATGCCTGATTTTGATATTTGAGCGCAGCTTCCATCCACGGGCGCTTGTCGTCCGGGTTAAGGAAGGCTAGGTGCAGAGCCGTCAGTGCAAGTAAGCTGTCCAACAAAAAAGGGTGGGATGTGGCCATTTCCGGGATGACCATCTGAAAGTGAGTCGCATTGATTTTGCCTTGATGCAGGGTATGATAGGTCTTTGTCAGATAATGATGCATCAACTTCATCTCAAGCATCCTCGTCGACAAGGGCCACTCTTGGGGCGTTGTGTCAATGATCTCTCTTGGGGTAGATGCATGTTGGCTGTCGACTTCGCTGGCCGGTGATGGATAGATACATGCTAGCTGCCGTTTCTTGCATAATCCACAGCTGTAATCAAGTCAGTATTTGATTCCTGTGCTGATTGACATGCAGCCTTGACAGCATGGCGTTGAATGATGAAAGCCGTTGGTGCAAAGGAAAACATGAAATGGAGTAGTCACCTGGGTAGCTCTTCATCGCATTTGACATGCCGCTTCTTGCAGTTAGTACATCCCTTTCGGGATTTAGTATGGCTGCGACGCGGTGGCATCAGAGAGCGAATGATGATCTTAGGAACTAACTCGGATGTCGGCGTTGTTTAGTGTGTCAAGAAGGTACGCCCTGATTGGGAGAAGGATCCAACAGCCGTGGCTCGCGAATCGCGATTATTTAATCCGAAATCCGTGGATCAGATGGCTACCCCAATTATCATAGGATGATAGCTGTGAGATATCGTTTGCAAACCATGTGAAGCGCAGGAGATACAAATCTGTCAATGCGGAAGCAGCTGGAGCCGAGTGGAGTCACCCGGTTCAGGTGTCAGTTCATGCCTGAGGCGGAAATCCTGCTCTCTCAGGTGTCACAGAACTCACAATGCGCACAGACCTCAAGGTTGAGCGTAGGTTGAAAATTGATATCTATGTGAGATCCTCATGAAAATAATCTTGGGCCATCCTACCGCTTTAAGGTCCACAACCTGGCCCAGGATGCGCACTGGATTTGCAACCGGACTGGAGAGCAACAGTTGAGGCGCTTCTTAATTATTTTATGTACATATTTCTCCTGCAAGGTAAGCAGCGGACCCAATTAATCTTTATGACTTAGATGTTCCTTTCTCTACCAGCATTCATTCTCTTTGCTGGCTGTATCTCAACCCTGTCCGAGTTGAATGATGTTCATATTCCTTTGAATCCAGGAAAGTCAGAGGATAAGAAATAGTGGATAGAGTTTGCCTAGATACGGGATACCACAGCAAGTTAGGAGTCAAAGCAAACGCACCACGCATTGACTATGGACTACGGAGTACTAGTAGGGATATGGAGACGATTTTCCGTCGAGATGTGGGCTGAATAAGGTGCAATGGGCGAGTATTACGGATGAACAATCGCTGTCAACCCAACTGTTACACGATCACCTACTCGGATCATGGACTGATTGATTCTTAGCCAGTATCCATGCTCCATGGATTGGCTTGGCGTCTGGCCCGGCTATGGGCCTATGGCGAACCTTGTCGCCGGCTTCAAAAGAAAGGTCAGAGTCTAAGCTGGTAAAGAAGGAACAATTAAATGCTTATACATTCTCAACGCCATTCCGAGCTATGCCCCACGGCCGTGGCGCCCTTTTCCCTGGTCCTTGATACCTTGAAGGGGAACGAACGGCTGTCTGGAGACATGAACCCCTAAGACTGAACGGTTGCCTGGTATGGATACCTTGGTGTAATTTGGGCCTTTTCCTGCGGAAGCTCATGCATAGTAGAAATGGTCGTCTAGCCACCTTTTTGGCGTAGTGGAAAAATGGCTGACAACATATTAAATACTCAAATCAGCTGTAGGCTAATCAATTTCTAGTCCCAGCACACAGGCTATTATAGCAACTGAATAAGATTTGAGGTAAATTATGTCTATAAGCTAAGGGAAACATTAAGTACTTAATCTAGGGAAGTGTTGTGTCAGAGAAGGGGCCCATAACTTCCCGCAAGTTAGCCATAGGCGACAAAATAATCGCTGTTGGCGGAAGAGAGCCAGATTATATTTAATTTATCTGTCAGTTGAATGTTATTTAGAAACACGTTGATGGCTGCGTTTGCCATCTGACTCAGATTGCGATCCTGCGCGCATTCCTAGAATGTTCTTGAGCCCCGTCACTTGGCACTCGACTTGCATCCCACCATGCCTGCATGAAGTAGATATCCATAAATTTGCTCCATAACATGCATTTTTTGAACTATTAATCCTCGTTATCGCTCCGGGCGGGACCGGAAGTACGGGTAACCAGGCGGAAAGCAGTTGTTTCTTTGGTGAAGAGTGGAATGCAACAATCAACGTCATAGCATCAGCAATTTCCTTTTCCGGACTTGCCTCGGTCCGGCCGCCCGAATCCGACGCTGACAACGCTCTAGAAATAACTGCTAGAGGGGGTGAGATCTGGAATAGAAATAATCTCCCCCATCCGGAGCGATCTTCGTAAAGAATTTAGAGGCATATCTTTTAGTAAATGGCTCTGCACGCTGCATCGTGAATACTCGTTCTCAGCGTAGCGCACGAGTATCTTGACGACATGACAATAACCAAAGCAGTCCGGATCGTCGAGGTGGGGCCCCGCGATGGCCTGCAGAATATCAAAGAGCTTGTTGCAACATCAGGGAAGCTCGAGTTAATCCAGAGACTGCGTGCGTCAGGACTGCGAACCATCGAGTTGACGTCTGTCGTGTCGCCAAAGGCGATCCCACAGTTGGCGGACTGTCGCGATGTACTGGGGAACGAGTCAGTTAAACAAATGCAAGGTCAACCGGGCCTTCAGCTGCCGGTCCTTGTACCAAAACGTCAAAGGACTGGATATTGCGATTGAGCATGGCGTCAAGGAGGTTGCGGTGTTCATCAGTGCGACGGAGGGGTTTAGTAAAGCCAATATCAACTGCACGGTACAGCAGGGAATAGAGCGAGCAAAGGCCGTAGCGGTGAAAACGATTGAGTGTGGGATTACCGTCCGAGGGTAGGTTTAGCTTTCTTCCTGTTCCTTTCCCAAGACGTATTGCTGATCTTGAAAGGTATGTCTCTTGTATTTTTTCAGACCCATTCGGTGGACCTACTGAGCCATCGGCCGTGCTGCACTGCGTTCAAGAACTGCTAGACATGGGCTGCTATGAAGTCAGCCTAGGCGACACACTCGGGGTCGGGAGCCCCGACAAAGTCCGCAGTCTGCTCCGCTACCTAGCCGACCACAACATCCCGCTCGACAAAATGGCGGGTCACTTCCACGATACCTATGGCCAGGCGGTCGCCAGTGTCTGGGAAGCGTACAACTGCGGCGTGCGCGTGTTTGACAGTAGCGTGGGTGGGCGGATGCCCCTATGCGCCAGGGGCCAAAGGGAACGTCGCCACAGAGGATCTTGTGTACATGTTTGAAACAGCAGGCATCGACACGGGTGTTGACCTGCTGAAGCTCGTTGAGACGGGAGTGTGGATCTCTCAACGGCTGTCCAAGACTAACGCCAGTCGTGCTGGGACCGCGCTGGCTGCAAAGCATGGCCTTGTCCCCTCCAAACGGTCGTCTTCGTCCCGAACAGCCACCAAGAAACAGATATCCTGGACTATGGTCAAAGACCCAAACGCCTTGTTAGCCTACTGCTCCGGCGTGAACGTCAGGCCCATCATCAACAGACCAGAAAAGGGCAACGCGCTTACCTCCTCACCCGGCTCATTGAAAACATCACAGCCGACCCCTCCTTCTCCCGACTCATCATTACAGGAACAGGACTGCCCTTCTGCACAGGCATGGATCTCAACAAGGGCTGTACACCTGTGGTACAAGACGGAACCGGTGAGGCTCAGGTTATCCGCCCCTCGCGGCTATTCGACGCGCGATCGACCAGTCGTCAAAGGTAATGATCGCTTGCATTAACAGCTCGGCGATTGGCGGGGGTGTAGGCGCGTTTGTCTGCGATATCCATATCAATACCAAAGCTGCAAATGTGACTCTGATCGACGTGAAACTCGGTATCTTCGCTGTGGATATTTTTAAGCACGCGATTCATGAACGAGTTGGCGTTTACGCGGCAGGCGATGCTTCGGCTCGTCCCTGAAGGCGATCGAATTTAAGGAGTTGGTGGTTATCTCGGAGTTATAGGTTGAAAGGTCTTGCAGCAGCGGTTGGATAATGTGTTGAAACCGTCGAGGGGTTCGTCGCCAGGTGGGTCGAGGAAATCCAAGGAGTGGATTCGACTCGGGTGGGCTCTTGTGGGGAGGAAAAAAGATGAGATGATGCATTTTATGAGATGGTGAGCCGAATGTTGAACGTGCTCATGGTCATGGCTGAGAGAAAAGATGGACAGGATACGTATACGCAATAACGGCCGGGGATGAAGCTGTGGATGTTGCCATAGGCAGCATGCTTAATTACCAGCACTAACCAACATACATAGGACATAGCCATAGATCATAGGTTTCAAAGCAAGAAATTTTCGAATTCCGATGTATATACTTTATATGTCATTTCTCGTGGCTCCTCGGGATTGTGAATCGTATGTGAGCTTCTCTATTCCAACTGACAAACGTTCCAATGGCAATACATAAGGTAGTCTCACAGTAGACAGACTGGCAACCCATTCGGAGTCCTTGAATATAGTCAAATCAGTTATTAGATCTCGATCATCTGGCGTAATATTAGTATGAAAAGCTCTAGCCTCAACGAATGCTACCTTCTATATCTAAACATCAAGATGCTATGTATGCTTCAGAGGCAATCGACGCAAGAGAAGAAGAAACGGACTAGAAAGACAGCTCGTCTTAGCTTCGCCCCCAGTCACTGGCACTGCGTAGAAGTGCCAGCTGGTGCACAACCGAGACAGGACCATATCTACCCGAGGAGGTTATAGAGGTACCGTCCTCAATTCTGCAGTCCACGAAGAAGGGACGTGGATTGTTTGGGTCCTAGTTTTAGCCGCAGTACATGGACGGCATGTACCAGTAGCTGTCAGTTCTCGTCGACGGCGGTTCTTTTCTAGCTTGTGCCACATATTGGATGCAGATGCAAATGACTGGTAATGCTTGGAGCCAAACTCCAATTGCGGCTAATTAGCGAAAATGTCTGCTATTATGCTGTCTTAAGTGGGAAGTCGAAAGACAAGTATACCTGAAGTGGGAGAAAGAAGATGAAGAAGATGAAGAAGATGAAGAAGATGAAGAAGATGAAGAAGATGAAGAAGATGAAGAGGACGGAGAAGTACTGTAGTCTTAAAAACAGTGTAAGTGGCAGATAACTGACTATGAGGTCTCAGGCAAGGAATGCATTGCTTCCAAAACGGAAGGAAGGTGCTGCGCAGTTTCCCCAAGCAAAGGGAGGCTTGGGTAGAGTAGAGATTATGGCGGAGAGGCTTAGGTTAGGGACACATACATACATTGCACTATTGTGAATGAGCTACGAGGGTATAATTAGTGAATGTCTCATTTAACAAGCCATATTATCCATGCAAGTAAGCAGCAGCAGATAAGAGTGAATAATAAAGTAGTATCAAGGTAAGTGCACACAATAAGAATGATCTTTTCTATAATCAGCCATTGCTTCGTACCCCTCCAATATCATCTCACTCTGGGACCCATGTCTTTTCAGCAAAGATGCATTCCTATGGGTAAGCGCAGCGAGCGAGACGGCACTCTTCTGCTCGAACTGAGAACGGAGTGTTCCATCTGACTTGATTGCCTGCTTTTCAAAATGATAGGAATATCCGTAGTAATGTCTTTTCCACCTGGGATCATTTGGGTCGAGGCCTGATCCTAAGTCGAGCCATTTAGTAATAACTAAGGCAGTCCCTTTCCAATCGCAGTCAACAACTTCCACTTGATAGTCGATACCGCAAATAGAACACTGGTAGATGTTCGGGCTTGACGACTTTTGGCTCACACGCTTGCAAATGTCCCACTCTGACTGTATCAAATCCGCTATTGGCGCCCTGTCAGCGTGGAGATGATCACATATCTTCAAGTTGCCAAGCGAACTCAGCGTGAAATCCTTTACCAAGCTCCAGTTCTGAATGCGAAGACACAAACGCGGCCCTTGGCATATCTGCGCGTCCACTGACAACAATGATGTGAGTGGCCATGTAGTGCTGGTCTGGATCTGAACGTATGCCAATGACTCGATCGGTATTCCATGCGTCGGGCCGCAGTAATGCCTTTTCATGGCAAGCTGTAAATGTATATGGAAGAAGTAATACCTCCATCCCCAGTGGCCCAAGTCCACTGACTTCAGCTGATTCGATATTTGTAGCTCGTAGTGCTTCCGTAAGCGTGATTGATAAGGCCACGTTGGAGCAGGTGGCCTGATATGTTTGCATTGATGAATGACAGAACAGGCGTGGCAGTAAACATGACGAGGAAGGTCTCGGGAAAGTTGCTGCAAAAATATTCCCCAGTGCTCTGTCTTTGGTTCAAGCCGGCTTCTGCGTCCAAATATGTCGAATAGTCTCTGGCTACAAAGAGACAAGCAACACCGATCTGGAGCAGCAAGAAAGTCTGCTATCTCGTACAGAAGTTCGACTGGTAGCTTTTCCAAGTCGGAGAGATTTGTGGGCTTGCGACGCCAGCAAGAGAAAATCCAACTGAAAAATCGTCTTCTCACTCCCATAAGGACCAATTTGTGCCAGTAGCAGCACGTCCGACTGAGCCTGAGGTAAAAATTTGCATGTTTTGTGTCAATAACAGCTCGCGGAGGTGCTGAGATCTTCCTTGGTATGGCAGTTCGGACGTCATGTGCCATTGAACACATTATTACACTACTATTTGTCCTATGACAAGAATGGTTGTCTAGACGCCTTTTTTAGTCGATTGGTCTTATGGTTGACATTTGCTCACTCAGCCATGGTTGCGAGCGTAACAGATAACATTTGTTTATGGTTTCAAATAGACTGCTACCAGAGGTTCTGCTCACTAGCAATCATGCTGAACTCCTATTGAATCCCAGCCGGCAGAGCTACATGGTAGGGGTTTCAGCAGCCATCCTATGCACACGACGTGGCTCTCTTTCGTATCCCTGGCTGATCTCTTGCTAGACTCTCAGTACACCATCCAAAAGCGCAAGATGCTTGAAGACCTTCACACCGTAGAAAAATAAGCTTGGCAGACCTTGACGGCCACTTGTCATCACCTGTCAACAGTAATGAGTACATATCAACCACACGAAGAGCCTTTGTTCCTTTTCTTTGAACTGAAGCTGATAAATGAGTTGTACCTACAATAACCTTCCGCTTTTCCAGTAACCCAACCATTAATTAATTCCTATTTCTCCATGCTCACACCCAGCACTATTTGGGGATTCAAATAAACTATTGCAGGAGACAACATCTAGATACACTAACAAGCAATAGCTCAGCATTTTGCTTGTATATGAACTTGTACATGAGCCCCTGCGATAACATCAGCAGACCCTTGGATTTAATGATTGCGAGATCCTCAAGGACATATCCTTCGAGTGTGAGTCATTTAAACGATTAAAGGTCATGTTGACTTCAGCACTAACAGCCAGCCCTAACACCCATATGGTACAAGTGAATATCATATATCAAGATGGGTCGTCCTGCAGAGACTCAAGTCTTTCCTATACATTATTTCGTGATTGACATCATCAAATATTATTCAAGAGTCTCCACTCGATGCATAGTACTGTAGCGTATGGTAGGGAAATGATGATTCTGCTGGTATTCCAATGATATTGATTATGGTAGTTGGATACATGATAGTGGGATAATCAGAATATGGAAAGGTTATAATTTCATAAGAGTGTAAGTGTGAATGAGTTAGCCCTATTTATACTGTTTGCATTATCTCCCACTATAGCTATTCCTATGAGGATAATTTTTAAGTTAGGTATAATAAATGAGAAAATTTAAGTAGTAGAAAATAGAATAAGCTAGTAAAATTAAAGGAAATACTAGCTAAAGATAATCCCTATAGAGTTATTATCCATACTAATATTCCCTGGAGATAGTTAATATTAAGTAAATATTATAGTGGATCTTTATAATATAATACTATAACTTAGGGGTGTCTTAGAGAGTTAAGTTAGTTAAAGTTAGGTTAGATGAACTAGCTAGCTTATCTAGCATAGGGTTATTAGGAATTAAGTAATAAGAGCTTATAGAAGAGGTACTAATAGTTAATATCTAGTCTTGCATTATCTAATTAATTAGATAGTTAATAAGCTTATTTAGTTTCTTATTATCTGCTTCTAGGGTTAAGATATAGTTAGATAGAGTAGAGATCTCTTTTTCTCTCTATTTGGACTCTCTTATACTTCCTCTCTACCTTAAGAACTTCTTCTTAGTAGTAGGTATCTAATTTATAAATCCTTATCTAGATTCTAGAGATAGACTACTTCTTCTTAAGCCTGCTCTAGTTAAGATAATAAGGCTATAGATATAGGTCTTACCTAGGTCCCTAGGAGGGACTCTCTATAAAAGACTGCTAATACTATATATTATCTAGTACTTATATTTAGCTTATTAATCTTATTCCTAATAAAATACCCTTTAGGGTCTCTCTAGTCTTTCCTAGCCTTAATAACCTATTATTATAGTGCTCTGTAGTAGTTAAAAAGCTCTAGATATTTAAACTACTAATACTAAGCCTACTATTTCTTAATATTTAAAGCTATAACTAGCTTAGATAAAGTAAATATACTATTCCTTTTTATAAAGATAATAGAGAAGAACTTCTCCTAGATCTTACTATTTATATTCTAGTATCTTATGTATCTACTTTAGAACTTTAGAGGTTAGATTATAATCTATTAAATCTTATCCTTATCTAGGATCTTTATCTTAGAATTATAGTGTAGTTCTATTATAGGTATTTAATATATCTAAGGTCTTCCCTTATAGGAGATAAGTACCTTCTTTATATTAAGAAACTCTTTAAGAGTATCTATTATATTAGAGAAGTAATTATAGTTTTTATAAGAGATATTTAGGATAGTCTATACTTCCTATATAGCTATAGCAAGCTTATTAAGGATATAGTTATTATATTCTTATTATTTAAGTAACTAACTAAATCTAGTCTTAAATCTTTTATTTTAGTTTAACTCTAG